AACTCCATTTGAAGTGACCCTGGGAACAATGAGGCCATCCTTGAATCTATCTGAAGTAACCATTTTTGGAGCAGCAACAAGTTAAGTTTCTGCTATAATACGTCATGAGTCTGACAAATTTACCAGGTGTGCTTTATTCTTAGGATTTCAAATGCATGTACTCTACTGTTTTAGGGTGGGCATTTGGGAGCCATACATTTTTTACTTCATTTACTTTGGGAAGATTTTTGTGCATCCTCAAAAGCTTTAACTGATTCTTTGACATCATAGCATCTTTGATCAATGCATGCTCTTTTGCAGCTCTCACAACTCTGTAGAGGCTGGCATACTATTCTGGAGCCCAGTTCAGCAAGTTCTGCAAAGCTAGTTGCAGCTCCTTTTGTGACCATTTGTATACCAACTATATTCTCCAAGCTGTGGGCATGTTGGTTAAACTGCCTGAACTAGAAATACAAAGTCAATTTGCAGTCTTTGTTCAGGGGTGGACTCACCACCATGGTGCCTTGGGAATTAGCTCACATAGTCATAGGGTACCTTCCTCTGCCAGTGTCTTCGCCGTGTCCTCACTCCACACACTCCCTTTCGGACCTGCATCTCACTCAGACCGTGGCGTCCTCTTCAGGACACTGCCCTCCAACAGCGTCCACTTTAGTGTCTCTTTAGTCCCCCTTCTGGGGGGTGGAGGAGGTGTTTATCAGTGTCTGCACTCTAGGGCCCTAGGTCCCCTATACCCTCCTTGCCTCAGTGACCCACTTCCAGTCTTCATCTAGCCCCTGCCTTGGGCAAATTACAGTCTGTAATGGCTACTCATCTTTGACAAGGGCGTGTGGACCTGCTGCTTTGTTTTATCCAGGCTGCCTCTCTGCTGCCCTAGTAGCCTCAGGGCTTGCTTCAGGCCCTGCAGCCTGGGAGCTTGCCTGGCCAGAGATTTCTCAGCTCTGCCTGCCTTTCTCCAGCTCTGCTCTACATCCAGGAAACCTCCTGCTTCCCGGGCAGCCAGGTCCCTCCTGCTCTCCAGCAAGAGCAAGTCATCCTCTCTCCCCCCAGGAGCCCTTCTTTATAAAGCCCCAACTGGGCCCTAGTGAGCAATATCTGCCTCAGATGGGGCTTCACTCTCAGCCCTCACACAGGGCTGGATATTTTGCCCTTAAAGGGCCAGTGCAGGGCAGATGCCCTGTCACAGGTACCATCAGAATATTCCATAGCATGTGGAACTGTGGCAAACTCATATATGAAACCTTCCTTCAGATCTGTCTCTGTCTCTGCCTCCCAAGTTCTGCCCCTCCCCCCCACTATGTTCCAGGGCCCCGGCAGCCCCTAGGAACTCTTGGAGGGAAAGCCATCAGGCAGGTGGGGAAGTGGCTGGTAGCCTTCTCTACGTACAATGCCATGTGCTCCATCACCGAGATGAGGGTGGTAAGTATTCGACACACCAGCTATTCCCAGGTGGCCTCTTTGTCCTCCCAGGCAGCGTGGTGCTCCTTCCAGTCAGTGGCCCATTCCTGGTGCTCTCCTTTGAGTCCATGGATGAGGGACTGCAAGCAGACCACCTGCTCCCTCATGAGCTCCTCGTGGTGCTTGCCAGCTATGGATCCCATTCCATTGTGTAGATGGAGTGGAAGGTAGGGGACATGCCAAACTCACAGCTAGCCTAGCTGTGAAAAGTGACAAGGGCAGTTAGCACAGGAGACACTGTGTATGAAGCCTTGCCCTAATCTCTGAGCCAACATCGAACGTCTCAGTTCAGATGATGGGTTTTGAGCAAGGTTATGTGTTTCCTAGAAAGTGGGCACTTTCCAGCAGAGGCACAGATGTCCCACGGGAGCATCGCAACACCCACAGCCTGGGAGCAAGCAGGCATGGGAAGGTGCCAGCCAGACCAGTAGCCTGTGGGTGGGAGCGGGGGGACTGGGTGGCTTGGATTCCTTCTGTGGCCTGCACATGCCAGGTCTAGCACTGGTGGCATCCCCCAGAGAGAGAACGTCTATCCCTGCCCACTGATGGAGGTGGTGGAGGGAGGTGTGTGTGTGTGTGTGTGAGCAGGAGACAACGCTCGCCAGAGAGTGCTAATGGGTTCTCCTCCTCTTTCTCCTCCAGGCAGGTTCCCATGCATGATATCAGTATTCTCCATATCACCATGCTTGATCGGAAGGGAATGCTGAGTGCAGGCATGGCCCTGGACCATGTGTAGCACTGCTGTGTGGTTCCATGACCCCAGACAACTTAGTGGTGGCTTGTTGTGGGAAGGAGTCCCACCAGAGAGGCTGGAGTAAGGCAGGCATCACTAGTGGGTCCTGTGTAATAGCATCATTGAGCTGAGTGCTCTGGGCTGGCACTCCATGTGCAGACAGGTGAACAAGCTGTTGGCCAAATAGGTCGAGGGAGGAGTGTGCAGCTGCTTGCCGCTTGTTGCCTTGTAGATGGAGAAAGTTAGAGAACCCAGAAGTGTCCTCCCCAGGGTTGTTGGAAGCCTGGGATATGCCCTGGGAGGGAGGGAACTGACTCCAAGGTCAGGAGCATGTCCTGGCTCTCAGACATGGTCACCTGACTGGCCTCTTCTCCTCCACATTGTCATTGTCATCCTCTGCCACCCACCCTCCTGCAGGTTGATGCCAGGCATGTCTTGGATGGACTCTAATGACAGTGGGGGAGGTGACCCCCCCCAGGATAGCATCCAGCAGCTCAAAGTGGCAGGTGTGTGGTGCCACTCCAGAATGTCCGCTCTGTGTGAGGGTCCTGCTGTGCCCTTTCTTGGCCAGGCTGGTGGTGATCCTGCTGTAGATGTTGACATTGCACTTCTTGGTGCAGAGTTCCTGGTGGTTGGACTCTTCCCCCACACCTCAAAGAGGTGCAGGATCTCTTCACCAGTCCAGGCCGGAGCTCTTCTGCATCCCTGGGCAGTGGAGGCCGTGGGAGCAGAAGTGCGGGCAGCCATTAGAGGGTCTGAGGGAGCTTTGGGTTCATTGATATCTCCTTGTGGTGCTCCCTTGCATAGGGCTTGTGAAGCTGGCTACATGGGACAAACCCTTCTCCTCTTCCCGGGACTTTTAGAGTTTTGCAGGAGAAGGAGAGCAGTGGAGACTGTAGGTGTGGCCAGAGTGGTCAGAGCCGCAGCTGTGAGAGGCCTCTGGAGGCCAATTAGTTTGAATCAGCAGCACCAGAGCATCCTCACTACTGTTATTTCAAAATTACTATTTTGGAATTAGCATTATTTCCCAAGGAAAGCAGAAGTACGGAGTTCGAATTCTGTGGCCTGTTATTTTGAAATAACAGGCTTGGTTGTGTGGCCGCTCTGCTTATAAATTCAACCTTGGAGGGGTTAGTTTGAAATAAGGACCTAGTTTAGACCACAGCTCATTATGTTATCCAGTTGAAAATTTTAACCAGCATATTCATGGTACAACAAGTATATCTTGTGTTGAAAGAAGTGTGACTTTTTTTTTTGATGCACTAATAGTTCTTAGGATACTTTGCATAACACAAAGCTACTTACGGCTTGGCTTTATACTATGCGTGTTTGCATTTCAAATATTACAGTGGAGTAGTCTGAGCTCAGCTGAAACCTTCATGAATGCAGATTTTAATTAAAATTGTTCTTTCTGATGATGATATCTAAGTTTCGTCTGCATACATCTAGTAGAGAGCATAAAAGATAAGGTTGTCGGTGCCTTGTTGAATAATAGTTTCCAGCACAGCAATACTCCGGTTTCACTGAGCACACAAATACATTGTTTTCTTTAATATTTATGGTGCTATTTTTGTCTGGATCATAAATAGTATAGGGGGAAAAACACAAATTTGACTGAGGCACTGAGATAATTGGATTATTTTTCTTTTTTAGTCTGATAGTTACAATTTAATTGCATTAGTTTAATACTGTACTATATATTAAAATGTTTTATAAAGAATATTTAGAAAATACTAACCACAGTATGAAATTATGTAGCATATCATTCCTTGTATAAAATATAAATGTAGGGGGAAAAAATGCTCAGAGGAGGTACAAAGGTTTTATAGCTATGAGTTTCAGATTACTTACACAATTAACACATGGTTTTTCATATGGCTACATAGTCCCTCTTAGGAGCAGTAACACTTCTAGGTGTTTATACTGCATATACAGTATAGAATTCACTGTGGTGAATGGTAGTATGTTGTCACAAACCAGGGTTTAATTCATTACTCATCAGTGGCAAAGCCCTTGTATTTATAAATTTATAAATCCCCATACAAGGTAATTGTTTTCCTTCTTATGTCAGATAAATTCTTTTTCTGCACAAGGAAGCACAATCACAATTTCATGTAAGGTGGACCATTAGGACCCACCTATTATGCCCCTAATTTCCTCTTAGACATTCTATGTTGAACAAAGTCATCAGTCTAATGATCATGGTTGACTGCAAATCAAGACTCAGCCATAAGGACATAACTTCAGTCCTTACTCAGGCAAGTCTTCTGTTGGCTTCAACTGGAGTTTTGCCAGAATAAAAGCTGGATCAGGTTTCAGATCACCCACAGACATTTGCTTGATTGCAATACCAGATGCCCTCTTTCCTTGAGGGACTGAGAAATCTACCCCTCCACACCTTTTGCCAGTGTGGCGCACTAGTCTGAACTTAGGAATTGAACTGAGGTTCTTTTATACAACTTAGTATTGTTGCCACTGGACTACAAGGCCAAGAGAAAGATAGCAATCCTTTCCCACAAATTGTTGCCTATTTTTCTTTAAAGCTGCAAGAATCGCTAGTAATATTTTTTGAATATTGAGTTTCTTTTTTCCTCCTTATTCAGTGGTAAGATGACTTAACTGTCATATTCAATTAAATGATTATTATCTTGGGATCTGCAGTTTAATTGCATTTTTGTTGATGATATTATTAGGCTTTGCAATCATATAAGGAAAACTGCTAACTGGCTTTTTTCTTTTTTTCTTTTTTTTATGCCCATTTAGATCTTCATGGGTGGAACAATTAATTGTGCTTTGTTTCTTTGCTTTGAAGGAATAACGACGGTTTTGACCATGACAACGTTGAGCATCAGTGCACGGCATTCATTGCCAAAAGTATCCTATGCCACTGCCATGGACTGGTTCATAGCGGTCTGCTTTGCCTTTGTGTTCTCTGCTCTTATTGAGTTTGCTGCTGTCAACTATTTTACTAATGTTCAAATGGAAAAAGCCAAAAGGAAGACAGTGAAATCCCTGCTTGAATTTCCAGTCATGCCAGTGCAGCGAGAACAGTGCACAGAAGAGGCACTCACGGTATTTTAAAAAATTTATATGTTACACTGTTTTCAGGTCTATATACAATTGCTTATGAGTCCAAGGTGTGAACAATTTCTGATTATAGGGGTCTGTAAGAGAACATTCTAAGAGACAAAACCTGGTCCATTGAGGGCTTTTTATGCTGTTTGTAAATGGGATGAGGAGTTGGCTCTTTTAGGATAGTTCCATATGGGCTGTTGAGAGTAACAAGTTACACCTTTCAGATACAGGTCCAACTCTTAGGCTATGTCTACACTGCAGTGCTATTTCGGGATACCAGAGGTATCCCGAAATAGCTATTCCATATCTTTTGGGCATACCTGTTATTTTGAAATATAACAGGCTTGCTATTCCAATATCCCTATAAACCTTATTACCTGAGGAGTAAGGGACGTTTTGGATTAGTGATTTGTTTAAAAATAAATGCTGTGTAGACGGTACCAAATTTTGAAATAGACTATTTTGAAATTGACTCAAAATAAGCTACGCAATTTGCATAGCTCAAATTTTGAGCTATGGGTGCAGTGTAGACAAACCCTTAGTGAAGTAGAGTGAAGATGAAAGTAGAATATTTAACAATACATGCAGCTTATATTTATTCATCTGAGTGGGCCTGACTGCATCCTCTTCAGAGGAGGGAGCTAAGCTAGAAGGCTCTCCTTGTGGGATTTCTTCCCAAGTCATTCCATTTGGTTGCTTTCACTCTACTTCCCTGCTGCCCAGGAATTGGCAATAAACTTGGGTAAAATATATGAAATTCACTAAACCTTTTTCAACCTTGTCTTGTGTAATTTAGCTCCCCTGAAATTTAGATTGTTGGCAAAATCTTGACAGACTGACAGTTGTCCACAGGAAAAAATGTGAACATTCAAAAAGATAGTTAGCCAAAACTTGGTATTTGTGAATTTTGAGAGAGGTTTCTCTAAAAAAATAAAAAGGGGGGGGCGGGGAGAGGAAGGGTTCTTTAAGTCTTAACCACTCTCACTGGTACACAGAAAGAGTATCTGTATTGTATGGTAGGGGATCTCCAACTTCCCTTCCTGACTGAGAATGGGCTGACTTTACTATCTCCTGCCCTTTGATGGTGTAGTGATGGCTGTGCTGGTTTCTCACCACTGAAATTTCCCAAATTTAGGGTGGTTTTAGATCCTCTCATAACAACATAAAAAAGACAATAACTGATCTTATGCAAAAATCTCCAAACCAAAACAAATTATTCTATATGTTAAAAGTAGTACTATGTTCTGCCCTTTTCTAGGCTGTTCTTCCTGAATGAAAACAAGGAATAGTCTGTGGCACCTTAGGGCACATCTACACAGCAGGGCTAAAGCCAAAATAAGCTACACAACTTAAGCTATGTCAATTGCACAGCTTAAAATCAAAATAGCTTATTTTGGCTTTTG